GCACCCGAAAATGCTGAGCATGTGCTCCAACACTGTCAACTGTATGCTGACAACTGAGACACAATCTGGCCTGTTCCAACAACATTGAAGACAAAGCTGTATGGTACACGAGAGGATAATGACTGGACGATAGCTTTCATAAAGACTTCTGGTCTCCTGTTATACGTTTTAAGACAGAAGGATCGAAGAAGAAGAAGTCAGGTGTCCACTTCTGCCATTAAGCAATGTGGGGAGGTACAGTTTGCGACCCATTGCTTGACGGGTAGCAGTGGCTATTGTCACCGCTGAGAAGCTCGCTCTCCTACAAGAGACGTATAGCCACATTAGAAGGAGCCAGAGTCAAAAGGAAAACACCAGAAATGCAAGGGCGGAAAGATCACAGCTGACAACAGGAAAAGGATCGAGCGGTGTGACTTGAAGGGAAGAAGGACTAAGCGCAGAGACAGCGCAAATACCAGAACTTAAACCACGAAAGTGGAGCAAATTAACCAGACCACAAACATAACTGGAGACTGTTAGTAGCTTCGGCTAGCTAGCATCAGGTTGAACCAGGTGGTGGCGATTTTAATTATTAATTTTTTTTTAAAGGAACATGAAGAGGCTATTGTCATTTCGTGATGACGTAGAAGATTAGTGTGATTGTGTGTGTGTGTTGCTGTAGCTGTTCATCGCGTGTGAGATGTCCTGATGTGGGTACAACAAGCAAGCAAACAATTGTTATAGGTGTTTCCGGTCTTACCAGGGCTGATAAAATCGCGCGCTTTCCCTTTAATTTCCTCCATAATTCACGAGTTAAAACTTCAGTTACATCGCCCTTTTGCTCTTACTTTTCCTCATTACACATTTGTCTTCAGCATTCAAAGCGCCTGAGATTTGCTGCTGCAGATTCTCGTGCTCGCATTCCTCTGTTAATCTTAGTTTCAGCTTCATAGCAAGCGGGTCACCTCATCTTTGCTCCACACAGAATGTTTATCACAGTCCCTTGTGGAAAGATTGATAGGCTGCTGTCTCAGCATATTTATCATACACACGCATTAAAAGCATACGGTAGCCTTCCGAACGCTAACACAAACAGTCCGACATTAGAAATGCGGCTCATCATTAATGGTAGGAGAAGTCACCAACAGATCAGCAGTTGCCCACGCGATCAATTTTTATCACATACGGACACCACCAACATTGCATATTGGAAGGTTGTTTTGTTCGTGTCCTACGGAAATAGTAAAAATCACAACTTATATCTTAACATAGCAAAAACAAAGATAATGAACACAGATTAAACTACAATGGAGACAGAAATATATGTTAATGAGGAAAGATTGGAGGTTGCGGAACATTTTTAATATCTCGGGTCATTGATTACCAATGGTGACACAACGAAAGAAATTAAACGACGACCATCAGTTGCTCTTTAAAGGCTTAAACAAATTAATAAATTATGGAGTGGGACAGACAAAACTACACAAATTAGATTTCTAAGAGCATGCATCTTTCCTATTGCAACATATGCCTGTGAGACCTGGACACTTACTAAACAAGCTGAACAGAGCAAAAATTCCTTTAAAATCCAAATGTTATAGATGGATTCTAAGAACATCATGGGTAAAGAAAAGATTAAATACATCCATAAATCAAGAACTGAATATTGAAGAAGGTATTGTATTAAAGATGATAAAACTCAGAAAATTTAAATATTTTGGTCACTTGAAACGTCAAGAAAGTTTAGAGAGAAAAAAAAAATAAAGGGGTATATGCATAGGAAGAGAATAAGAGGAGGGCCAAAGAGAAATGGGTGCAGGATATGGCGGATGATCTCCAGATGGGTGTATCGGACGCGGGCACCTTGCTTGTGATTGAGAAGTTTTCCTAAGGGTTGTTATGGGAGCAAGGTTCTGCAAAGGATTGTTCCAATCCAAGTGTGTGAGTGAGTGACTTTCTACCCCACCAGGACATCACACAAGCGATAAACACCCGATGACACAAAGTGCCACCATGCGGATGAGGATCACCGTGGAGAGGTCCCAGAAACCGCGTTCAGACATTTGGCCATAATAATGACCTGCCTATATTGCGGCCCCTGGCAAAAGCCAGAGTGGGGCTTCAAATAACAAAAATTACGTCCTAAGAAGGACGTAAATGAATAATCCAAGTGTGTGTAGGTCTGCATAATTAACTTCTGCCTCGTGGTATATGACCGCCATTTAAATGAAAATTAACATTATATTTTCATGACATCCACCGTGGGGATATAGCTCAGTGGTAGAGCATTCGACTGCAGATCGAGAGGTCCCCGGTTCAAACCCGGGTGTCCCCTGATTTTTTTTTTCCATTAAGTAAAATCGCATATTATGGAAAATTATCGTTCATCTTCTTAAGTTAAAAAAAAAAAAAAAAAAAAAATAGAAATAAAGTCTATTACAATTATAAATTAAAGGAATCAGTGTTATTTTTATGTTTAAAAAATTTAGCAGCAAATTAAAATTGCATCAAGTTCATTCTAAAAGTGAATTAATATAACAAAAACTTACAAAAGAAAAATTGACTGCGAGTTTTAACTAAATATGACACTCCAAAGATCGTAAAGCATAAGCCTACACATATATTCACAACCTTATATATTTCTAACAGCAAAAATTCGCATAATATATGAAAATCTTTGCTAACTAAACACCTCCCCCCCCCCCCCCCACCCCAACAAAAAAAATTGCTAATCTTTTTATGACTAAACATGGTAATCTTTTTTTTTTTTTTACCTCCCAACAAATTTTGAGGGGGGGGGGGGGGGGGGGCAGTTGGTAGGTACACCTGTGCGTGCATTAATTAATACTATATTTGAGTACGTTAACAAGCGGGAAACAACATACACCACAAACACTCTTAACAAAAATATTTTCACAGTCTTCCATATATTTTATTGATATTTCTCATAATGTACTACAGTTCTCTGTCATTCCCGTAGAACTGATACGGTACGTAGTCTCAATACAGCAGGCGCGTAGTTCTTGGTTTACCTGTCACCTGTGACAGGTGAGAGAAACACAGGAACCAGGAAACGACGCTCACGTCAATGGCGGCCTAGTTGTGTTGGGTAGGTTTAGATTTGGTTTCACGCTTTGAAATATGTTGAGCTGAAGACATTTCTGCTTACTTTAGTGTAATTCTGCCAGACTAGTTATGTTGAATCCGGTTATTTGACATTTAGCCAGGAAACATAATGATCAGATTATTGTCTGTAGTAAAAAGTAACTTGTGAACAGTTTAAGTTTCTTAGTTTGAACGATCGTAATAATACGGTAATTATTTTATTATATGATGAATCACATCAGACATGATTACGCCAATTACGGTATTACTTGTAACAACTTCAAAGACACATTGTTTGTAAAAATATCATTTATAATGTATAAAAAAAAAAAAAAAAATATCCATGCATATTTATAAAATTACATAACTAATGGATTCTGCAATTCAACTAGAGTCCCAAAAAACAATACATAAATCTCGGCTATCCTCCGAAATTCGGTCCCAAATTATCGAGGCCGAAAATATTCCCCAACAGGGCCTCAGTCACATGTAAATTGCGTACTTCCGGCCGACTACCGCCACCGCTGAGAGTATATCCCATACCGCTACGCACGGCATGGAGTGGGGCTAAACTAGATGGCTGGGACTCACGAGCAAATAAAATGAAGGAAGCTGCAGGAGATGCGGTAGCTGCAACTCGCGAGTTCCAGCCATCTAGTTTAGCCCTGCTCCACGCCACGCATAGCGGCATGGGAGATACTCTCGGCGATGGCGGTAATCACTGGAAGTCCGCAATTTAAGTCGCCGAAGTCCGCAATTTACATGTAACTGAGACTGAGGCCCTGTTAGGGTATTTTTTTTGGCCTCGATAATTTGGAAACGTTATTCGGTGGATAGCCTAAATCTCAGTCTGCTGGTGACTTCTGCTAGTCACAAGTGCTACCATCCACGATGAACTGTATTTCTAATGTTGAACTGTTTGTGTTAGCATTTCTGATGGCGGCCATACATATGATTTTAATGTTTGTCACTGTATGCTAGTGCATATGCTGAGACAGCAGTCTGTCAATCTTTCCACAAAGGACTGATAAACATTTGGTGTGTTTTTCATTGGCACAGCAGTGGAGCAACTATGGGATGACCCGTTTGCTATGAAGCTGAAACTCAGATTACCAGAATACATAAATATCTGAATTGAAAACATATAATATTATTAATATAATAGAACAGTTGTTATAATCATCATTACTTCTCATTATGTCATAATGATATATATATATATGTGTGTGTGTGTGTGTATGTATATATGTTCTTCTTCGTGTTCACCAGCTGTACACTCTGGCGTAAAGTTCTGGTTGTTCGTCCACTGCAGTCCTGCTCCAGAACCTGAGTGTTGCGTGTGCATCAGTTTTACAGATCTGATTCAATTAAATGCAGACTGCTGGTTCCTTGCTTCTCAGGCAGATGCACTATGACTTCAAAGGAAGCTCCCCAGTTAGTCGACTCTTACGACATGCTTTTGGGGAGGCAGTTGGTCTATTCTTGTTTTCCCTACAATAGGGCCCCGGAACCCACACGGGGGTGTATATATATATGGCAGTTTTACAAAAGAAAAGAATTTTACCCACATGGGATCAGATATAATGAATTACTATTACACTCTTGAAAACCTACAGAGGATGGCATTACTGCCATTACTGTAGTATTAGACTTTGTCCTTTATCATAAAGCTTTACACTGAAATTCTAGTATAATGCAGTGTTGTAGCTGTACTTATCTTGGTAAATGTAATGGTTTTAAAACTTATATATATATATTTTTGTACATTTTCTTCAACAGGCAATTAAAGATTGTTATGGACTAAACACAGTTTGCAGTCAATGAACAGTTCTAGCAGTCATCAGTACAGTACAGTACAGACAAATCTGTGTGGTTGACATTATATTTAAGAAGATCCAGTCAAGCGTAAATAAGCTATGGCATCATCAGTGGTGTCTGGTGCATCAGAAAACCCCAGGGGTTACAGTATTGAGCCCAGCGAGGTCAGAAGAAAACCCCAGGTCACGTCATATAACTTTGACGAGGAAACTAAAATCAGCTACTCCTGTGGTAATGGAACCCTTTTCCTCAAGTTGTCCTCTGTTATGATGGTCCTTAGCTTCCTTCTGCAGGTAATCTTTGGTTGTGTTTGATTTGTAAGATATTTATAGAAGGTTGTATAGATATGTCTTAAATAATGTCATAAGGCTATTTTCTTGAGCCCTGTTGGAATTGAAGTTAGGATGTGCGTGAACAAGTCATTATTCTCCGCCTCAGAACAGGGCACAATCGATTATGTAACCACATGTACACAAAATTCAAGATAGGTGTATCAGCCATGTGCCCCTGTGGAAATTTGCCCCAGACAGCAGAGCATGTACTCCAGGACAGCACCGAATTTGACACATTAAGGTAAACCTTTTGGCCAGAAAAAACAACAGTGGAATGTAAACTCTATGGACCACTGAATGAACTAACAACGATAGCAAAATTTATACAAGAGACAAAACTGCTGATTTGGACAACTTATTTCAGGCGAACGAAAGAAAAAGGATGTGCGTGTCTGTGTGTGGGTTCCAGAACCTCATTGTGAGGGAAAACAAATAGACCCACTACCCCCCCACTAAGAAACAAGAGTTGAGTTAAGCTGAGTCAGAAATGGACATAATCCTCATCTTCAGCAGCCAGTGCAGAGTTCCAATACTAATGGTACTGGTCACAATCTGGTTATATGTCCGTCTTGCCTTTCCTCTGAGTGTAGTGAGCTGGCCAGACCCTCTGGTTACACCCAGTTGCCTTATTCTTTCCAGGCCATAATAATCTTGTTTCTCTACTGATTCCGTTGCTTCTTCCCAAAGGGCCTTGACCACATCTGAATTGTCATGTATCAATTCACCACCGAGTAGTGCAGATCTAGCCAATCTGTCTGCTTGTTCATTACCCACTACGCCGGCATACCTGGAGAAAAGATCCAAAGTATGCTTACTACTTGTGACCTTTCTAGTGAAGCTTGCCACTCTGCTCGAAGCATCCTTGTCTTCACCTTTCTCAACATGCTTTCAGAGTCTGTTAGAGTTATGACATGTGTATGCATCTTGTTCTCTAGCCACTTGTTCTCTGCAGTTACCGCCTCCACCTCCATTCTCATGCTAGATGGGATGCCGTATGCTAGGCTGTCTTGCACTAAAGATTTTTAAAACATGTCATAATAGATGATTAATTAATGTTGTTTCCTTCAAAGTTGAATTGCATCTGCCTGAGAAGCGAAGAACCAACATTCTGCACCAAAAATAAGTCAAGATCTGTACAATGGATGTTCAAGCAAAAGTCAAGTTTTAGAACAAGACCAAAGTTCAGAAGTGGATGAGCAACCAGAACTTTCTGATGAAGTTTACAGACGGTGAAGGCTAAAAAAGGAAGAGGATGTGTTATTTTTTTTACCGATAACAAGAGTTGTAAATGCCTGCTCATGACTGGGACCTATAAACGAAGCAAAGTTAGGCACATTGTAAAATCCCATGCATGCACTAAGAGCTAAGGAGACTGGCTGTCTCATTCTGTTGAAATTTTGTCTCTGTAGATCCAACCAGCTATGAACAAATCTACCAAGGTTTTCACATTAACTGGTTGAAGGTCTAGGCCAGTGGTTCTCAACCTTCCTAATGCCACGACCCTTTAATACAGTTTCTCATATTGTGGCAACCCTTTAATACAGTTCCTCATGTTGTGGCAACCCTTTAATACAGTTCCTCATGTTGTGGCAACCCTTTAATACAGTTCCTTATGTTGTGGCAACCCTTTAATACAGTTCCTCATGTTGTGGCAACCCTTTAATACAGTTCCTTATGTTGTGGCAACCCTTTAATACAGTTCCTCATGTTGTGGCAACCCTTTAATACAGTTCCTTATGTTGTGGCAACCCTTTAATACAGTTCCTCGTGTTGTGGCAACCATTTTATACAGTTCCTTATGTTGTGGCAACCCTTTAATACAGTTCCTCGTGTTGTGGCAACCCTTTAATACAGTTCCTCGTGTTGTGGCAACCCTTAAATACAGTTCCTCATGTTGTGGCAACCCTTTAATACAGTTCCTCGTGTTGTGGCAACGCTTTAATACAGTTCCTTATGTTGTGGCAACCCTTTAATACAGTTCCTTATGTTGTGGCGACCCTTTAATACAGTTCCTCGTGTTGTGGCAACCCCAGCTGTACAGTTATTTTGTTCGCTACTTCATAACTTCAACGAATATTTGTTTTTTGCGATGGTCTTTGACGACCCATGTGAAAGAGTCGTTCGACCCAAACAAGGGTCATGACCCATAGCTTGAGAACCATTGGTCTAGGCTCTAAAACTGAAAGGGAGAAAAAGAATATTACTATCTGACCTGAGCTGCCAGGTTGACAGTTAAAAGTGAGAAAAGAAAATGTTTTTATGGAAGTCAAGGAAATCAGCATAATATTGGCCATGCCACTAATTAAGTACCAGTTAGTGTATAAACATATGCTGATAACACCATATGCCTAAAATTTCTTTTGTGCAGTGGCTAGCATACTTGCTAGCTCTGTGGTCACGTGTTCAGTGACCCATAGAGGAGTTTGTTCATAGAAATGCTGTCATGGGCTCCTAGACTTGATTCAGCTGAACACTGAGATCAGGAAATGTGTCAAGGAAGGCAGTGACCACGTCACCCAGTGACTGCCAGTTGGTCTGTAAAACATGGGGCTAGTTCCGTCAACCCAAGCTTGACTTTACTGTCTTCTTCAGGTAAAAGCAGTTGGTGTTTACTTACAAAACTCTAGACTTGACTTTACTGTCTTAACTCAGGTGATATCAAATGGTGCTTACTCACTTGCAAAAGCACTTGGCTTGACTTTACTGTCTTACTTCAGGTGATATCAAATGGTGCCTACTTACTTACAAATCTCTTGGCTTGACTTTACTGTCTTCTTCAGGTGAAAGCAGTTGGTGCTTGATTACTTACAAAAGATCTTAGCTTGACTTAACTGCTTAACTGTCTTTATTATGTGATAGCAATTGGTGCTTATGTTACAATAGATCCTTGCTTGGCTTGACTTTACCGTAACTGTCATCAGGTGATAGCAATTGGTGCCCCATACTGGGCAGCGGGCTGGAGGCGGAGCAAAATGTCCTGGCATGAAGGAGTGTGGATGACCTGCTACAGAACAGAGCTGGACAACAAATGGATTTGTGGAGCCTATGATTACAGCAACAGCAGACCAGGTGTTCCCAGTAAGTTTTCTGTGTATCTTATTCTTGCTGTTGTTTTTCTGTGGGTACAGGTGTGTATGTGTATCTTCTACTCCTACTGTTGTTTTTCTGTGGGTGCAGATGACCACACAGATGGACAGTCTTCTTCAGCTCATTGAACACTTCAACATTGTGTGTCCTATTCAGTACTGATGCTCCTTTCTTACCTCTTGATTCAGTGTAATTTGTTTTGTTCCCTCCCAAAACTCCACCTCAGTGATTTTAACATACTGTTTAATTACTTTCTGCCTGCGCAGGAAACATTTATGATATAATAAATAAAAGAAATATTTCCCAGTTGTAAATTTAAAGGAAGAAGAACAACAGATTGCACAATAATATTTCACTGTATCTACATTGTTACTGTAGTGTTAACCTGAGATGCAGTAAATTGTACAATCTGTTTGTTTCTTCTTTGTTCTGGAAAAATAAATGTTTTTCACTAGTGGTATTTACTTATATTAAAAGCCAAATAAAATAGAGAGCTAATCTGTGTGTAGACTGCGTTGGTATAATGGTTGACATTTGTGTTCTGCAGTGTGGTATGCAGCAGTTCAAGCCATGGGATTAATGTCAATTGTGGTGTTTCTGCCGGCACTGATCATTAATTTCTGTTTCACGATGCATCCCAAAGATGCCAGGTTTAGAGGCATGATGTGGTTCAATTTCGCGCTTACATTTGTCACTGGTAAGTTCTATTTCTTTCATGTTTCAGTAATTAATAAACCCCCCCTTCCCCCCCCCCCCCCCAAAAAAAAAAAATACAATTCAGGGGTCTCTGTAGTCAAGGGTGAAGGTCGTGCATTCATTTCACGGATGTATCGCTTAGTTTTAACATATGGCTAAGAGTCCTGGACAATCGGTAGGCAGGCCAAACAATTTCTTGAGGCCTCAGAGATGGGGTTTTACAGAAGAATGCTTAAAATACCTTGGACAGTCAAAAAGAGCAGCCAGGAGGTTTTGAAAGAGGCGGGAGCCCAAAGACAACTTATCCAGACATCAGAAGGAGACAGTCATCATTTTGGCCATGTTATGAGAAAAGGGAAAATGGAACATGTTGTGACCACTGGAAAGATCTGTGGAAGGAGGGATAGAGGAAGACAATGAGAGAAGATTCTTGACAGTCTTGGTGCATGGCATGAAGGTGTGTCAGCACACAAACTGATACATGTTGCAAGCGATCGCAGATTGTGGAGAGGCATGATCGCTCACGCCTGTCAGCAAGGCACCTGATGATGATGATCATTCAGAATACAAGTGTTTTTATGGAGATTGCTGGGATTGTTGCTGGAGCTGTGGGGGTTCATGATTGGTGAAACACTTCTGGTAGGGGTGCTTGCTGTTATGCGGAGAGAGACTGAGCCATATGGGATAACCTGGGGCAGTGAAGTGAATCTTCTTGACTTGAATCTTACATTGTCTAAATAATGTGACTGAATACTGTCTTCCACTTATGTATCATTAATACTGCCTCATAATTAATGTGGCATTATCTCTGCTCCCATTAATATGGCATTACTACTGCTTCCTGTCCAGGGAAAGTAAAGACGGCCGGTGTAATGCTGACCACATTACCCACCTAGTGCCCATTGGTCTGTAATAATGTGGATTCTTTTCCCATATGCCCAATGTGCCTAAAGGCGTGAAAAGGGATCTTTACTTACTACTGCTTCTCATTTGATTAGCGTTAATACCTCTGTTAAGGAACGAGAGAGGGGACTTTTTTCTTCAGTAGAGTGTTGTGGACAGAAAAGAATGTTGAGAATATCATGGACAGGAAAGGATACTGCAAATGTTGTAGACAGAATATAACCAGCTAAGGCATAAAGAGCAGAAGATGTTACAAAATCAGTCATCACAACCATTTTAAAAATAAGAATGAAACTTATGGGAAGTATCAAAAAGAGAGCTTAAATTAAATGGTCAGTAATAAATCTTACAAACTGAATGATTTAAATTTATTGAAACAAAACTAATTATAACTATAAATTTGAAAAAAAAAAATATGAGCATGATTGCCTGAAAATGTTTCTTCTGCATATACGCCTAAAATGATGACTAACACCTTACGTTGAATCTGCGCTTTTCGGCCCAGCACATTTGATTTAAGTGAATCCATAATTAATCACATTTTACAACACTAATGTTGTGACAGTGAATCTGTCTACATTCGTCACAATGATAGGCTTGGGAGTTAAGATCGGCATGGCAAAAAAACCAAAAACAAGACACACATCAGAGGACATGTTAATCAACATAAAACTGGTACTATGAGTCACCGGACGTTGGGGTTCATACTGAGGGGAGGATCTGAGCACCTATGGACTTGCCTGGAGTGTAATGATGACAACCCAACTATTGAAATCTCTGATAACATTACCATACTGTTACTGTACGTATGTTTGTTATAACTAAGTTGAAAATGTGCAGCACAACAAATCTGAATGTATGAACTATATTCTTTTCCAGGGCTTCTTCCGTTGTGTATGGTCATTGTATTTGGCGCAGGACACCCCAAGAGAGACCGCTTTCCCATCCCGTACATGGACCAGTACTACGATGACGACCCTTTTGAAATCCATTTCTGCTTTGTGTTTGAGATATTTGCAGTGATTGCGTCTGCGGCTGCATTTGCGCTGGAGATAATTGACTTCCGTAGAAGTGACTACTAGTGTGGGTTTGTTGCTCCAGCTGATGCCTGCCTTGTCTTCCAAACATTCCTGCAGTTTCTAGGGGGTTAGGTTGTAGATATTTAACCATGCTGATAGATTCATATGTTGGCTACATTTAAATGATGAGGACAGACACAATATATTACCTGGCATATTTCACTATAACTCATCAGGTGCTTACTGCAGAGTTACATTAACATATATAAATCCTGACACTTGGGAGGCTACTGAACAATGTGGCGAACATCTGTCCGAAGAGATGCAGCAGTTTACGATGCATCTAGAAAAAAAAATAACAGCTAAAAGTGCTGGCAGACCACAAGGACCCATATAACAGGCCCTTTACCTACAGACACTATTCCCTGCCCTAATTGTCCTAAATCCTTCCTGGGCCTTATTGGGATTATAAGTTATCCCTGGGCTTGTGGACAATCAAATATCGTTTCAAAACAGGTTTAAAAAAAAGAGTGGTCTTCATCACTTGTGATGGATGAACATGTCAGCATATAATTCTCTACTATATGCTTGATGAGATATAGAGAAATATGCCAGGCAATAAATTATTCTACACTATATTGTTTATGTTATCATTTGAATGCTCAGTGTAAAATACTGATTTTAATAACGCTTAATGCAGCAACCAAAAAAACAACAACCCCCCAATGTAATGATACAGAACATTATTTAATAGAGTGTAAAAGGTACCAACTTTTTGTGAAGGACAATTCTAATGGAATAACCCACTGAAAAAAGCTAATGATTATCGCAGATGTACTAAAGATGATGCACACAGTGAAACTAAACCCATATCTTCTAATTGCAAGGCAAAGTTTCTAATTAGTTTATAGAAGAGACCCTTAGTACAGGATACACCGAGTTAGCTTAGCTATGGAAGAACATTTTGCAGCTTCAGATATGGACAGCATAAGAATATAAATGATAAATAGGGAGCTGTTAAATATGGTACAAACAGGCAGGCATGCAAAGTAAATTAAATTTAACTTAGCTTGTTGAAAAAAAACAATTAATTCTTGTACATAGTAGAGATGGCATTTGTAGATACATTATTCTTCCAGGCAGGTAACACTTTGATGACGTACTACATATCACAAAGTGACAATTTTTTCTAGCAAGTTACTTTTAGAAAGATTGAAAAAATCCATAGATGAAAGATTAAGGGAAGAACAAGCCGGTTTTAGATCCAAGCGGTCATGCATAGACCACATCTTTACTCTTAGAATAATTGTTGAAGATTCTACAGAATTCCAGTCGAAATTATTGATCAACTTTGTCGACTTTCAAAAAGCCTTCGACAGTATCCATCGTCCAACACTCTGGAAATTGCTTAACATCTATGGTTTCCCCATCAAATATATCAACATCATAAAATCTTTTTATAATGAAACACGATGCTGTGTAAGAACTGATTCCGGCAATTCTGACTGGTTCCCGGTGGAAACAGGAGTGAAGCAAGGCTGTGTCCTATCGCCGATGCTTTTTGGTATAGCAATCGACTGGGTCATGCGCAAGTGCATAAATAACGCAAATTTAGGCATTACATGGGTTGACAAAATTCTGGAAGACCTAGACTTCGCTGACGACATAGCACTCCTGAGTTCAGAACACACAGACGCCCAAGAAAAAATCAATCGACTCCAGAATTTCTCAGAACAAATTGGACTCCAAATTAACACCGCAAAAACAAAAATTCTAGACCTTACCAACAGTTCAGTTATCACGCTGAACAACAACAGCCTTGAAAAAGTCAACAGTTTCACTTATCTAGGGAGCAAGATGTCATCTACAGGAGATACCGCACCAGAAATATCATTTAGAATAGCACTGGCATCTAGTGCCTTCAATAAACTGTCTAACATCTGGAAATCAAAGACACTTAGCAAACACACAAAACTCAAGATCTTCAATTCTTGTGTGATTCCAGTACTAACCTATGGATGCGAGAGTTGGAAATCAACGAAAACTCTAGACACAAAATTAGACAGTTTTGAAAATAAATGCCTTAGAAGAATACTAAATTTCAAATGGTCAGATTTCCGAACCAATACACAAATAAGGCAAGAATCCAGGCAAGAGTATGTGTCTAATTTTATACGAAAACGCCGCTGGAACTATGTCGGCCACGTCCTTAGAATGGATAAATCAAGACTTCCTTACCAAGCCCTCATTTGGACACCACAGGGGAAAAGATCTCGTGGAAGACCAAGGGAAACCCTACGTAGAACTATCATCAGGGAAGGCTCGCTCATGGGCCACTCAAACATCCAAGACCTACAACGGATTGCAACGGACCGCCGTGCATGGAGAGTCACGACCTCTGCCCTATGTGCCGCACTCGACACAAGAGGAAAGACTAACTAACTAACTTTTATAATTTTATTAAGAAATTATACAATGGAAGTTGCTGCTTCTATCTTCAACATGTTGAACTGTATATAAATCTTGTACAGCCAAAATAATACACTTGGTTACTGTTATATGAGAATTCTTATTGCATAAAATTATACGTTATTATGTACTTGGAATCTGTAGTATAAAATGATATGTTACTGTGTATTTTGATAAATTGTTATATTAATATACCCAACTATATCCTTTGCTGTTTAATTCTAGGTGGCTGTCTAGAAATATGTCAGTGTGTACTTTGTAAAGTGAGAATACTGTGCATATCAAGAAAGAAATGATGAGTAAATGAACGGACAAACATAAATAAATAGTTATGCACTTGAGGTCAGGGAATTTAGATATTGTAGCTCCCCGTGTGGGTTCCTGGGCCCTGTTATAGGGGAAACAAGCATAGACCCACTGCCTACACAAACCCATGTTGACTAATTGAGAGCTTTCTTCGAAGACAGGATGCATCTGCCTGAGAGGCAAAGAACTAACAGTCTGCACACAAATGAGTCAGATCTGTCAAATGGACGCACACGCATCACTTAGGTTCTGGAACAGGACTGCAGTCTAGAAGTGGACGAACAACCAGAACTTTCCACCAGTTTACAGCCGGTGAACGCAAAAAAAAGAAGATGATATTGTAGCCACACATTAAAGCAAATGTCATGCAGTCCTGTCAAATGATAAAGAAACTAAAATAAAATATGCGTTTTAACAACGGCACATCATATGTTCCTTGGTTACCCCATAGGTTTGTGCTGTCACATTGACTCATTCTAGCAGAAACATAAAAGTACTTTTGCCTTACTGGAAATTGTTGGTAACCCTATTAGACAGACATTTACTGGTAATAGTTTCAAGTTCAGCTTCTTAGAATAGAATGAGTGCAAGCAATAACTGCTTGGGGTGGAAAACGTTAATATGTCACTCTTATTTTTGAATCAGTTTAAATTCTTGGGTAAGGGTACCTCAGTGGCTTACACTCGCCAGCAACTGGTGGCCATGTGTCAAATATCAAGGTAGCTCAGTGGCTTTCAACTGCCAGCAATTGGTGGCCATGTGTCAAATATCAAGGTAGCTCAGTGGCTTTCAACTGCCAGCAATTGGTGGCCATGTGTCAAATCTCCTTTGAAGTCAACATGTGTGTTTTAGGGCCCCATTTTAGGGAAAACAAGAACAGAACCCCCCCCCCCCCCCCCCCCCCCAAAATTCCTTAAAAAAAAGTGTGTCAAATGAGTCAGCTAACTAGGGGCTTTCTTCTAAGTCAGAGTGCATCAGGAAACCAACAGTCTACATACAAATACTCCTACGACATGCGATGGATACAGTCACAGAGACTTACTTACCATGGGCCAGAGTTTAATGTCACAGCATCTTCAGAAGCAGTAATAAAAGACATCGTTCCTGGAAGATGCAGATTAGAAAATTGTAAATTTAGATGATAATTATGGCTAACCCTATCTGAGCGATAAACACCAGTGACACAAAGTGCCACCATTTGAATGAGGATCACCTGGGGACACGTCCCAGAAACCTCATAGGTTTTTATATTAGGGCATCCGACAACAGCCAGAGTGGGTCTTTAAAAAAACCCAAAAAATTGTGCACATTTACGACACGTAAATTCAGTTGAACTGGTTAGAGATAAAAGGTTTAAGGTCAGCTGTAAATTAATGGAAGCAATGTTCTTGCATAGGGCATGTCAAATAATGTCCAGCAGAAATGTTCACAGAGTTGTCAACTAATCACAAATACTAGTTCATAGCCTGATGAGTTTGAGAGACCAACACATCTTCCTTCTCCGAACTGTTTTAAGCGGATCACACTAGCTATGACACTCAACCCCTCGCCAGACACTTGTTTTTAGAACTGATTAATGCTGTTTGTTGACTGTGAATTGCTACATGCTTGAAATAATATTCATACATGTATCATTTATATTCTGTATGAGTTTGTGCATAAAACGAAGACTGTTAACTGCTGAGTGCAGATAAGCATAATGTTTTTTAACATTCCTTTTGTGTATCTTTATATATTTATATGTATCTTTAAGTCTCAAAGGATGGGGGTTTAGTATTTGGGACCTGTTTTTCCATTTCTGCCAAGCAGTTTAGAATGCTGGGCTGTCATTTAGGAGACTCAGTTTTGAATTCTTGATGTTATTTTGATAGTTCGTGCATGTGGAATTGGTAGTCATGCCTGTCCATTACCTTCTGTCTTGTGTACTTTCAGTCAGTTCTGATAAAGATGATGTCAGACTCTCCAGCATCTTCTCTCTTGGGTTGGGGGAGGAATACATTTTTAACTATCACAGTTCACACGTGATTCATTAAGTTATATAACTGATTTAAAAGTACTTTAAAAAAAGTTCCTGCACCAAAAAGGTAAAATGGCTTTGACTCCCAGGTCGACCCAACCTTGAGTGGGTACCGGGTGCAGTCCCGGGAAGTAAAGGCAGCTGGTGTGGTTCTGACCACATTACCCACCTTGTGCAGGTTGGTCTATAAAAAAAATAGAGGTCTAGCCCTATATGCCTAGAGGCGTGGACAAGGGACCTTTACTTACCAAATAGGTAAACTTCCTATCCT